CACCCACAAAGGTACTGAGACGCCATTGAAGCAGGTGGAATCAGACACCTCAATGCTTTTGTCAACGCCTTTGACCACACTGGAAATCTGCAGCTGCAGGAGGGGAGACGCATACTCACGCTAGTTCAAATACACATCTTAGGTTATAACCAATTTGTTTTTTTCCTGTGTGTACAAGTGGGATGCCAGTGCCACAAATAACACCTACCGTTCCACTTCTGCCCGTTTCTGTGGTTCTCGTTAAAGTCCCAGCCATAGTTTACAACGCACAGCATCAGTAACTGTCCTGGAGGTAGCTGGGCAATGATGTGTAAGTTTAAGTGACGTCAAAACTCCCACATATCCGAAGGTTCCTCTCAGGGATCTGAAACTTTAGAAAGGCCATTTGAATCTCTTGCCGCCACTTAACACAGCTTGGTTTTCTTAGGCAGTTTCAGCATAGCCTGATTTCTGGTCTCAGACTAGATGCGTCATTCCATTCAGGTACTTACTTACGAGCCTTACTTTAGCCCTGTATCTTGAATTTCCTTTCTTTAGAGATGATGATTTTTTTTTTTTTTTTTTCCAGGAAGACAAAAGGATCAGCCTTCAGTGGAATTCTCCAGAGCTCTCCACAACTGCAAGGTATTATTACTAATTTGAGTTTAGTTTCAGGCACAGGTCATATGAATATCTTAAAATTTTGTGGAAACATTTTGCAGGGGACAAGCTCAGCCAAATTTCTGTTCCAGCACAAAAAAAAGGGAGAACCCATAAATAAAACTAAAGAGGTAACATATAGTGAATAAGAATACTCATTAAAAAGGTAACTCCATGGTAAATTATTATAGCAGAAAAATAAAACCGTACAAATTCAGGAAGAATAGCTGTCTATAACGATAACGGATAATATTTTAAGTGCTTCAGCTGGTCATTTAAAATGGGACCTCAGCTTTCCAAAGCTGCTTTCAATCACGGTCAGCAATTTTTGCTGTTCTAATGTGATTCCTCACTTTCTCACCATTTTCCATTCCAGATGCAATTCAGCAGATGTTAATTAACACCTGCAATAGCTAATACATTACCTAGAGACATTTTCATATCTGCTGTTAGCCAGTTGAGAGCTACGCCAGGAACAAACCGTCGTCTCCCGGCCTTGGAGGAAGAATTAAACCACCTTTAAATGCCCAGTGCAATGTCGAGTTGATGGTTTGTCTCTTCCTCAAGAGAAAGCCTTTGCAAAATGCTGGCCTTGTATATATATGCTCTACACCTCCTGTTTAATAAATTCTACTTCTCTAGCTGCTTTAGGGTCCAGCAAGAAGACTGCTATAGCATTGGTATGCCAAGAAAAGAGCCCAAAAATAGAGAAGCCAGAAAATATGTTTTTTCTCCTCCTCCTTGCAGAGGTCTTGAGCTACAGCATTTCTAGGAAGTACTGTTGGCAGGATTTTTCTTTTAAGTTTACACCATGTTCCAAGTCCTGAACCCATGATATTAAGCAGGACAGGTAAACCAACTCTGCTTTTTGGAAACGTCTGTCACTGAAAGCACATGCCAAGATAAACACAACCAAGGATGTGCAGACTATGAGGCTCCTTCTGTTTCTCAGGTAGCCGTATTTCTCGTACCAAGACTAAGGCTCAGTTCTGCTCCTGTTCATAAAATTGAGTGGGAATGTGCCCAGAAGCACGTGCAGAAATGGATCTGCTATAACTTTTCCTTTTCCCTTGGCCACTGAAGTGCTGCCCACTCTCCCGTCCCTCAGCAGTTCTCGTGGGCTCAGTGGACAGTTTAGCTGCTCAAACATTTACAGGCTGAGGATAAAACAAAGACCCGGAAAGCAAAATGGACTGAAATCAGCAGTGAAAAGAAAAAAAAGTGAGCCACCGAAGTTCAAGCATGGTACCTCTAATTTTTCACTTCAGCAGGTGTACATAGGTATGGTTCTTACTTTCAGTAGTGTAGAAGCTCGTGCTTTTTACCTCCGTAGTGTAAAAGGAACGACCATAATAAATGGTAACTTTGGATCAGGGGCAAGACCTGAGGCACTGCAAACAGGCAGCAGAAGATTCATGGCACATAACGGCTTGTGTCTGAGGATCAAGACTACTTCACACATCCCAAAACATCTGATAGCCTGGTAACTAATAATAGCCTCAAAAAAACGTTCTAACTCATTTTTACTCGCATGAAACATGATGTCTAGATCTGATGATTACTCACCAGAGTAAATTTTCCATTTAAAATCATGCCTTGCAGCTATCGTGGAAAGCTGTTTGCTAACCCCCAAACACATATTATCTGATGTTACATTGCTTTATCTAGATAAAATGGGCAGTAAATCAAATTTGTAAGCTGCAGCTGCTAATCAATATGCTTTAGTTGAAGACTATCTCCAAATATTGTTTCTCAGAGCTATTTGTGAATTTCAGATGTGTCATTAAAGATAAAACAGATCAAGAGAAACAACTTCACAAATTCTGGCGTCTATAACATTGAGCAACTTTATCCCTTTTGTTTTATTCCAAAATGAAAAATCGCAGCCAGCAGCTTTCCCATCTTATTTACAATAAATTAGTGATGAAGGGGAAAGGTTTGTTTTTTCAAAATGGTGTAATTATGTGGTCTCAAATATCATTCTATAAGCAACCCGCTCTCACCCCAGATTTTAAAAGACATCTGAGAAAATACCAGGTTTGGGTTTCTTTCTTTTGCCTTACCAGGTAGGATCCGAAAAGGCAGCAAAATGAACCTCCGGTTGAAACAGTTTTTCTTCCAATTATAGATCAGATGCTCGAATGAGCTTAATTAAACATGGGCTTTAACGTGAAGCATCCAGCCGCGCTGGCCAGGCCGAGGCTGGGAGTTCTGTCCTTCAGATTTTAGCCCTCGTATGAGGTTATCTTGTTAATGGACAAGAGACTTGATATTTCAAGTATAAAATTATCACCGGTGGCACTGCAGTGATGACAAAACTTAGAACCAAAACTCCCTCAACCAGTGAAGACCCCTTTCCTCCCCACGACAGTAAAGTTCCCCCTCCATTCTTTCAGTTCACTTTAAGTCATATCCTGACATAACATCTGAGGTTAAAAGACTTGAGGCTTCAAGGCATTTATTCCGGTGCTTCCAATTTAGGATCATTTTCTGCAGGTGCTCCCTATAATCTTTGTTGAGGTCCAGACTGACCAGCCTACAATAGCATGGAATGATTCACCAGGCAGCTTCTCACAGATTTATTTTTAGTTTTGGCAAGAGCAGGAATAAGCAGACATACACTTTGCAAGTTTATTTGAAAAGTTCACTCTGTTTTCTAAATATTTATTTTTCGCCCCAAACCTGCAATCCTCAGTAGTATCTGGAATAATATCAAGGAAATCACACTACAGCTGACGTAGCAGAGGTTGAACCTCATCTGCTTATTCCATTTATTTTGTCAATATGCCCCTGCCTGCTTTTAAAAGCAAAGAGCAACTACTTTCTCAGCCACCCTATTTCCTAAACTTACTTTCTGGTGCATGATCTTTATAAAGGAGATGAGGTAAATACCTATATTAAGAATGCTGGCAGCCTTTTAATAATTCAAGGCACAGAAACGCACTATTGTTGTAACTGAGCAGGTACTCTCTAACACAAAAGAAAGGTCAAGCTTCCTGCACTTCAAGGGTTAAAAGAAGAAATTCAGATGCTCCGTAAAACGCTGCCTTTTTCTGTATCAGCTTCATTTCCGTGTCTGTAGATCACTTAAAGCGTTCTCCCATGCTCAGACTGAGGAACAAGGGGACTATTCCTGCGCCACAACTTGGTTGTGGCCAAGGGGGCTACTCACTCCCTGCTGTGGCAGGCAGGTCGGCACTGGCCGCAGGTATCGCTGCGTGGCCCTTGCACAGAGGGCGGGGAAAGCGAGACGAGGCAGGCAGCCCATTTTCTCATGGATCTAGTTTTTCAGTGGCTGCTATCAAATTCATTGAAGCAAGGATTTGACTGAGCAGGAAGATAGAATTACGTCTCCTTCCCACAGCTCAAGGTCAGGATAAAGATGGAGGATGGCTGTGAGCGAGTCATTTTATGTGCACTTATTGACTTTGTATTCCGATCAAATTTCCAAGCTGAAAGTACCAAACACAGGGATTAAGATATGTCTAATATTTAGTCACATATTAACCAGTATTGATATCAAATTTTAACAGCAGCCATTTGAACAGCTAGCCAGACTTAAAACCTGAATTAGTAGATATCTTGTGCCCCGGTGAAGATTTGCAACTAATGAACCTGAGACATTTCCAAAGAGCAAACAGAGGTTCACTGTAGGAAGAGGTAGCTCAGAGGTACAGAGGAGATGAAACTGTATTTTCACAACAGTGTAAGGATTAAAAATGCAGAAGAGCATCTGCGTGAGATGTATAAAACCCTGGTCTGCGTACTCAGGCCTCTGGATAGTTCTGAGGGTCTGACCCTCACAGAGCTCACACTAAACCAGACGTAGGAGTAAGAAGCGCACTAACGCAGTACCTGCTTACTTGTTCTTCCATTTTGAGGACACACGTACCAGAAAGCTTCTTTGGGCCCTACATCAATGCAGGCAGAATTTTTTTGCCTGTAATAAATATGAACATGTTGCCTTCCGCCGGTAGTACGATAACCCTGGCAGCAAAGCCACCCCTCTCTGCCTCCTCCTCCCCCCGCCCCGGGCTAACTGTAGCTGAAGTACGGTTCTTCTTCATCCACCTCTCCGTTCCCAGCTTTTAAATTTTCCTCCTTCTCTCTCATACCCCTTTGTCTGAGGCTGGATTTGCTCCAATTGTTTCTTCTCAACAGAAGGATTTCAGATGCCCCTTGGCTGAAAAGGCTCCACATAAGAAAAGCATCTCCGAGGAGAAACTTCCAAGAGCTCCCCGCCACAACCCCCCACCTCTTTTCTTGGCCAGCAATTAGTCAGGAACATAAAAAGGCAGTCCAAAACCAGTACCTTGCAGTTTGTTTTACTAAATGAAAATAAAAAAGCGTATGTCTGCACATTGGGTAGAAAAAAGCTTTTATGGAAACAGATTTGACGCTACAGCCCCTCTGTCCTTGCATTTCACAGTCTGAAGGAGTAGCTGGGTGAAGGACCGGCGAGTACCTAAGCCAGCTAGGTTGCCCGAGTTTATCGCCCGGGAGCTTTCAAAGTTCATTACATATTATTACACACACTGAACCATGGGGCACTTGCCCAGCATCTACTGCATCATTTCGGTGATTGTCAGTGACTGGTTTAATCCATATTGTCAACTGGAACTCTGCGCTCAGCTCTTGTTTCCTTTCAGGTCACTTTTTATTTTTAATTGACCTTAAATCATTAGTTACAACCAAACAAAATCATAACTGCATAGTACTTGACCGCTAGGAAACAATCTTCAGTCCCCACCACTCTGTAGTATCTCTGCTCACATTCAGAAAAAGTCTAAAACCACTTTAACAATATGAAGTATATTGCGAATGCATTTAAAATAAATAAATCGGTTTTTGCTACATCACCTACTATCAAGAAATATGCAATTGCCAAGTGTTTTTAGCTGAGTTTGCTCTGTAAGGCACAACACCAGTACAAATCTGGCTTACAGTTTACTTTTTTTTCAAAAATTTCAGGAGCTGTTAGAGGGAGCAGATAGCTGCCTGAGTTAAAGCACATTATCTTGCTATCAAAAGAAATCCTGGGAATCTTTAACCTTGCTTCACAAGCCTCGGACATGGTAAACAGTAAAGAACATTTCCCTTGGTGTCCAAGCCTATTTCCACGTTAGGAGCGCAACCCTGCCTGTGCTCTCCAGGGCTGGTCCAGTCTCCCAAAAGAGTATTTACATTTCATCACACAATTTCTTCATCAGAGCTTCATTACGCCAGCTATCACCAATTATGCAAAAACGACGCGTTCCCCGCGTAAAGAGCGTGAATTGCCAAGACAAACCAGCACCGGCCTCCCTCTGTAACAGAGCCACGGGAGAGCAGCCTCTGAAACACCTGCCTGTCGTTACGCAGCGAGAAGAGGGAGCAAACCAGCTCGGTCCTGCCTGCTGCATATTTAAATGCGACGTGATGTGGGGCACGGGCGAATGCGTGTGCCTGACCCTCACGGCAACTCTCCTTTGACCCCCGCAGGGGAAGGAGGACGGGTTCCACGGCGTGCCAGCCAAGGCAGGGCAGGGGCACGTACGGCACCACCGGAGGTCCTCGGCCCTGAAATTTGATGACAGCACTTTGTTCCCCTCTTCCTTTGATAAGGCAGCGCGTGAGATGAGAGCAGCAAAGCAGCTCCTCGGCTGGAGAGCTGAGAGGAGCCGGGTCACAGGCCTGAGGAGTCAGCGCCTTGGCTCCTGGCCGGGTACCGGGAGCCCCAGCATCGGCCCTGGGATAGCACCTTCGGGTCCGCTCGCCGCGGTACCGGGCGTGAGGCGTTTACTGGGGGGGGTCCTTGTGTTTAAAATAATCCCATCGTCCCGTCATCTTGGGGGGGGGGGGGGGGGGGGGGGGGGGGGTGAGGTTGGTCTCGGCGGTGTCCGTGTAACAACAGCCCGCGACTCCACTCGTCGGGCGGAGGTGCCGGGCTCCGCGAACTGTCCGGCCGGGGCTGGGGAGGCCGCTGCCACGCACCCCCGCGTCGCCCACGGGGCCAAGCAAGGCCAACCCCAACGGTGGGGCTCCCGCCGTCCGTCCGTCCGTCCGTCCATCCAGTGGCGGCTCCTCACAGGGCCGCGGCTCCGGGGGCGAATCCCACCCCCCCCCACCCCCCCCCACGTCCCCGGGGCTACTCGCCCCCCTGGGCGGCACGGCCGGCCGCCCCGCCGCCGTCGAAGACCTCGGGGCTGTCGGCCAGCAGCGAGGTGCGCACCTTCCGCCTCTCCTTGAAGCGGCCCGAGTGGGAGACGCGGAGGCTCCGGCGGTTGCCGCCGCCCGCCCCCGCCGCCTCGCCGCCGCCGAAGGGGGTGGGCTGCTCCTCCCGGCCGCCGGGGCTGGCGGGGGGGGGAGCGGCGGGGGCCTCGCTGGCGGCGGAGGCGGGGGGGGGGCGGCGGGGTGGCCGCCGCTTCCTTGTGCTTCTTCTTGCTGGTCAGCGACTTCCACCACGGCCCCGCCGAGCTGCCCTTCACGCCGGCGCGGGGGGCGGCGGTGGCCGCGGCGCTGTCCGCCATCTCGGGCTCCTGCGGTAGGGAGGGGGGGGGGCGGGGGGGGGCGGGGGGGGGGAAGAGAGAACGAGGGCGGGCTGGCAGCCGGGATCGCCGCCACCCAGCCCGCCGGGGCCCCCCACCACTCGGGCCGGCGCCGGGGCCCTCCCTCCCACAGCACGGGGGGGGCGGGAAGCCCCCTCCACACCCACACCCCCCCCCCAACGCAGGGAGCGCTTTTGGGGTAGGTCTGCCCGTCACCCCGGGAGCTGCGGAGCAGGGAGGGAACAGGTCTCGCACAGGGAGCCGCGGGATGGGGATGGAGGGGGGGGGGGGGGGGGGGGGAAGGATTTCGCGCTTTGCCCCGGTGACAGACTCTGAAGCGCCACCCGCCCTCCCGTGCGCGGCTGACGGAGCTAAAGGTAAATAAAGCCCCGGAGCCGAGCCGCTGGACGCGCTCCCCGCACTCGTCACCGCTTCCCCCCGTCCCCCCCCATCCTCCCCAAAAAGGGGACCCCGAGGCCGGGTACCTTGGGGCTGCCTCCCCGCGGGCTGGGGCCGGGAGCCCGCGTCCCTCCCGGGGGATCCTGCGATGTGGCGCCGGCCGCTCCCTCCCTCCCTCCCTCCCTCCCTCCCTTCCCCCGCCGGCTCCCGGCGCGACAGGTACGGGAGGCGGCACCGACGGGACCGCGCTCCTTCTGCCCCCGGGGAAGCGCGGCCGCTCCTCCCTCCCCACGCCCCTACGGCTCCATCGGCGCGGTGGGGCGGGAGGGCGGGAGGGAGGGCGGGAAGGGGGCGGCAGGTAGCGGCCAGCCCCGCGGCTCGGCCCCGGGGGCGGAGCGGCCCCCGCTCACCTGCGCGGCGGGGCGGGGCCCGGGGGGGCGGTGGGTGTCCCCACGGAGGGACACCCGGAGGTGGGGGGGGGGGGAAGAGGAGGAGGAGGAGGAGGAGGAGGAGGAGGAAGGAGCCGTAGCACCGGGAGGGCGTCAGGAAAGGCGGCGTTCCCGCCGGCGGGCGCGGCGCTGTCGGCCTGCGGCAGCCCCGCGGTTTTTTTTTGCGCGCCTCGCTGCGGAGGGCGCGCCTCGCTGAATCATTTTGTAGCCGCGGAGAAAAACAGAATCGTTCGTAGTTGCCCATCTTTTAAAAAAAAAAAAACAAAAACAACCCGCAGCTGACGCAGAAAGAGAGGCAGTGCCGCCTAATATATACACTTGAACTGGCTTAGAATTGGGACCTTCACTTTTTGTGTGGTGATGGATATATGGCCAAACAAACGTCTTTTATTCATCCAGAAAGGAGAGAAAGGATTTGTTTGTACCACACCATGTGTTGAAAATGGTGATTTGTTTGTTGGAGAGCTACACCATGTAATATATACATTTGATCCCTAACACCCCTCCCATCAGCCGCACAGTCCGTTACCGAAGGATGCCCGTGGTCGTGTGGAGGAGTTTGCGAAATCATGCCAGCCTCATACTCTTTTACAGATCAACTTCTGCTACTTGCAGCTTCCCTGAATAGCCCATAAAGAGAAGATGCATGGGAACTGGTGAATGCCGGTTACCGTGGGAGAGGAGCCCAGGATGTGCACTGACACTGTTCCCTTCGACCCCAAAGGCTTTTGGATAGGGAAGCATGCGTGCACACACATGGGAAAGTACTCTAGGCTGTCATACTAAGATCAGTAGCAAAAGATCTATCCTATGGACTAAAACAGTAACTTCCAATGAGAAAAGATGGCTTTTTCATTCCCTCCTAACAAGTAGGCAACCGGCATTTTCTAAGGTGCGTAGCACCAGGGCATCAGGCTCTGTTGGGCCAAGGACAGCCACAGACCACAGGGTCAGGTTTCCCCTGGTGAATATGACCTACTGCTTTGCTACTCGTGTATCTATAGAGAAGGAGAACAGCATCATCTCTCCCCATCTTGTGTCCCAGGGAAGCGCCTGAGAAAAAAGGGAATTTATGCAGAAATAAAGGTAATTATTATTATTATTTTTAAAGCCCTTTTCACAAAAATATTACTGGTTGACATTTATAGCTTCCAGCCTGGTTATAGGCTTATACAAAACATTTGCCACTGTATCACTTGTTTATATTATTCTGATTACCATAGATGTGACCTCTTGGCTCACATAATGCCAAACTTACATCAACTCAGTGCGGTTTTTTCAGCTAAGCCTGTGTCGATGAATTTTACAATGAAAGAGATTTGTCATTTTTGATGCTGGTCTGAAAGCAGCGTCTACCAAAAAGAGACAGGCACTTTGGAAAGCTTTGTCAGAGATGTGGGAGTGGGAGGGTGCGCCTGCATGTGTACGTGGTGGTGCAGGGGGACAGCAAAACCTGCTCTGCAGTTGGAAGTCACTGCTACGAATCAGTCACAACATGCTGTTCCACGAGGTTGTCACTAAGGTTAGTGTTTATATAAAAACAACTCTGAGGGTGAAAACATAGGGTCTGCCCCTTTCTTACTGCTGCTGTACTTGTTGCATTCCTTCAGTGTGCATATATTTACAGCGCTGATATAAAAAGGAAAGTAAAACAGCCCATTGACTCTTTCAATGCATGGAAGTTAAACACTGTATCAAGTTAATAAGAGTACTGCTGTTAAATTCTGTCCTGTCTTTGCAGGAGGAGAGGACAGAAATCAGTGGGGTTTTGTAGTCCCAGCTAAGGTGGCTGTGCAGGGTTCTAGCAGATGCCCCAGTACACTGCAAAATAAAGATGTAGGGCCTACATTGTAACATGCTCCTTTTGTGTAGGATTGAACCATATTGACATCAGGTCTCTTCATAATTCTGCAGGCTCTCCAAAATTCAGAAATACCCTGGTATTCTCAAGATTCAGATTCCCAAAGACTAACTTTAATATCAGCTCTTGAACGAATTTTACTTATAACACCTAAACTGTTACTGCAGTGAAAATAAATAATTAAATAAAAAAAAAGGTGTTTGCTGTACTTCCCACCGTCCTTTTTTCAACCTTTGCAGACCCAACTGTGTTGAAGTTGAAACTGGGCCCTGGAAACCTTAGATGACCAAACCACACCCTTACCTAATTGTGCTGAGGGGACCCATCTCTCCTTGCAGGAGAAGAGAGGCACCGTCCAGTGCCGACATCAGCCTTCCCGACACCGTGGACTACGCAGCGTCTGGGACTTTCTGATCTCCACAACATAACAACAACTTTAACCCTGATATTAAGTGCAGTTATAATTATACCAAGGGGATCCAACGGTGCCCTCAGAAGCATAGAGGGCACTAGTGAATATTGGTAGCAGATCTCTTATTCACCCTGAAGCCCCAGATCGTCCAGGAAATAGACTGGACTTTAGAAACTGGATTCTCAAATGCTAACCTTAAGGCCAAGGACGTGTTTAGGCCTACTGTAGAAAAGCACATACGGCACTGGCACCTATAAAGAGCAGAGCTCTTCTTACGTCCATACGGCCAGCAATATCCACAGCACGTGTGATTCTTCAGGTTTCAGTTCTTAAGCTCGAACCGTGACCTGACATACAACTGAGCAATTGGGCCTCAGAAGGAAAATTGCAACACTGATACCTGCTGGCACAAGTGGGCCTTTTAGCAGTCAGCATTAAAATCAGTTCTGGAAACTCCTAGATCTCAAAGCCTAAATGTCACCTTAATTTAAACCGAGGGGCCTCTGTGTACAGGAAAGGCCCACGCAAAGAATTGGCTCCCATCCGCATCAAGCTTCTCACAAGAAGCCAGCAGTAACTTCAATTCTTCTAGCTTTACATTTTCAAGTGCTAGCAGCACCTCAAACCTTAGACTTTACGATAACCACAGGAAGGACTCCCACCATCGTTTTATAAAGGGTAAAACCATTTTCCCGGTTGACACTGGGCTGCTGCTTAAGGCTGTGGGACTTGCAGCATCCACACCCAGGCTACGTCAGTCCTGCCAAAAAAATCATAGAGCTGGGAAGTGAGTTTGAACCCTGCACCTGGTGAACTGGTCCTATTGTTAGCGGTGACTCCCTGGCACGATTTTGGGCTATGTCAGTGAATACTCACTGGTCAAGCATGGCCTCGAGGCAGCAAGAGCAAAGGATTATTTCCCTTAGACAGAATGGATGAAACTACCACAGTTTGTCCCCCTCCATAGTCCTCCAGCTTTACTGCAACAGGTTTTGCACCCAAAAACCCCTCAGTACACAGCCACTCCTCGTGTAACAGTCTAGGACGTGCATTGCCCCATCGCAGCCTTGGAGTATGAAAATACGGGTTTGATGGGCTGCAACACAGCCCCTGCCTTATTACAGGTGCTAAATCACAATTTTTGATTGAGTGCCTCTAGGGAAAAAAAGGCTCTCACTGGCCACAGGTGACACCACGGGCCCCTGAGAGGCCCTTAAGGTTAGGTACAATGTAATGTGGACAGGGCAAGACTGCGCCACTTGGCAGGGAAGAGGTCCTTGGCCCCATTTTATTGATTGACACAGATGTGGTCTTAAATTTTCTACTCTTCCCTCCAACACTAGCATGGACAATATCCTTAGATGGGCCCTAACAGTAGCTCTATGAAAGGAACTAGTCCCTTAGTGGAACGCAGGACGTTATCTTAGTGCTAGTGCTCATTCTCATTCAACGGGAAGTTTGGCTTCATGAATAAATCTGTCTCAGAACACAACAGGTTCTGAAGCTTTACCTTAACAATAGCCATGACTGTAAGGAAGGCTCAAAACTTCATCAAAACCGTTGGGAAACACAGCTCCTCAAACTCAGTTCCCAGCCCTTTCTTGCATCCCATGAATTAGTCCCACGGCAGAAGCAAACAGAAGAGCGTAGGCCCCTAACACCAGCCCTTTTCTTACATTTGTATATCCACCAGCAAACTCAGCCTGATTCTTTGAATCCCAAATTCTGAACCTCATCTTCTCTCTGACTCTTACAGTATCTGAAGATAAAACTTAAGGACCTGTTCCTATAGCAGAGCAGAAAAATACAGAAATCTGTGACTGTTGACACCAGTACCCTTCCTAACTCTGCACGCCTTGCAAAAAAAGAATCAGTTTCTCAAATATCCATACCCCTAAGCAGAGAACACTGAATAGAAAGACAAGGGTTGATGATTGTTGATACCAGCATGCTGCAGTTTTTGCAACTTCAGTAACAACTCAGTTCTTTTGGCTTTAGGTTTCCAAAGCCTGTCCCTAAGTCCTACCTAATTATAACTGTAAGACTCCTAACAGCAAAAAACCACCATAAATAATTGTCCCTTATTGACATCAGCCCTGTTCCTAATACTGAGAGCTGTGCAGCATGCAGTAACAATAGTAGTTATTCAATATTTGGATTCCTAAGCCTAACTGTTACCTTGTTCTGAACACCTATGGACCCCAGTCTCCTAATGTTCTTGGGCAGCAGTATGTGGTAGATAATATGGATCTTCATGCACATTGGTCATACCCATAGCTGCCTTATAGTAGAACAGAAAACAAGGTATATTCAAATATCACCAGCAGCAATTTATGTTTTTCAGGATCTACAGTTCCAAACCCTACAGCTAACCCTACTCCTCATTCTAACCTTCATCTTAGTAGTAACAAAGGGCTCGTACTTTCAAGAAAAGAGAGAATACTTTGACCCCCACCTCGTCAGGCCCTGCAGAGCCCTGCAATGAAGGCAGCTTCGAGTGGCACGCTTGGTTCCTGCCATCCCCAAGCCTACTGTAAACTGAGCCCTGACAGTTCCTCTGCTTACAACCTGCTGCTCATTTCTACTGTAGCTTATAAAGCACTGGCTCTAACTGACACAGGGTTTCTTCCTGGCTGCAGGCCTTACAACATTCTGCAACAATCCTTCAGGCTTTGAACTCCCACTCCTGGCTCTAGCTGTAGTATCAGCGTAGTTATATCCGGAATACCGTGCCTTCGGAGAAAGATAATGTAAAGTATGGCTCCCATGTAAGACCCACTGATGTCCTAAATCTGCAAGCCCTAGAGCATTCAGCAATGATCATAGTTCCCTAAGGTTCAGACTTCTGAATCTTAACCGTGATCTTTGCTTTAATCAAGGAATTAATCTCTACAGCTAAAGAACATAAAACGTATCGACGCTCTCACTCTTATCTCCATGAGCCCTGTCGTCTCTTCATTCCCTTTAGATAGCTGTAGGGGATATAGCAATATAATTGTGCTTTGAAGATCCAGTTAGATGGCATTCTTCTCCTTGCCTAAGTGTTTGTGAATTGCCTTCCTACTCAGATTTTTCATCAGTTCCTGATTATCGGCAGGGGAGTCTGTTGGCACTCGAATCGTCTTCCTCCCTTTTCCGCAGACCTTGTCTCTGCTCTTGTCAATAAAGAAAGAGGAAGGCACCCAGGCTCCTGCAGCTTGTGCCCTTTGAGCAAGGCTTGGGGAGAGTGTAGGGGTGAGAGAAAATGTCACAGCTTCTCCAGCTGCCGCCACTTTGGGGAGCATGAACGGCTGGAGAAGCGCCCGCTTGTGTGAGCCTTCCTCCCAGCCCCATCTCCTTTTCCGCCCTCTCCAGCCTCTTCTCAGGCAGCCGGGCAGCACCTCGCCAGCCATCAGCAGGCTCAGGGGAGCAGGCTGCCTTTGCCCTGCCTGTATCCCGCGGGGGGAGCGTGGTCCTGGCTGAAGCTGAAGGCGGAGCAGAAGAGGCTGTCGGCTGCCTCCATCTCCAGGTGTGAGGGAGCGGGAGGGAGCCGCAGCTGAGCTGAGTTAGGAAACCAGCCTGAGTCCAGGCAGGGCCCTCTGCAAACACACTTAATCACCTCCCAGTGTCTCATCTGTACAGACCTGCACTGTGCTGTGTTTGAGCTTATCATAAAGGACACCGTCGCTCCACGTGCTCTGCAAACCGCTCTCAGTAGCCACCTTCACTTTCACCTCCTTGCAATGTGACTTGAAGCCTTCCTTCAGTCCAGCTATTTATTACCTCAGGCACTCCCCGCACCGCTCCCAGGTCTCACTAAGACCAGAGTTTTGCCCCCTACTGCACCTGCAATCCCTCTTCCCTCCTGTAGCCTCAATTTAACAGTAACACACAGCTCAGGTCTTTCAAGCACCTTATTTCAGGAGGGATCCCAAACCTGATGATACCTTCCTTCCCAGAGCCTCCGGCCAAGTGCCCCTGCAGCCCTGTCTCCTTCATTAAGCTCAACTACTGTGTGAGCTTTGAGACGGTGAAGTGTATAGGAAAGTGTACTCTTACCTCTTGCTTAGAAATAAAATGAACGTGGTACCAATTCATCCAGTTTTGCGCTCTGTTAGATCCATTCTGTAGCTTAAACTGACATCGCCGGGCGATGAGTTGAGAGCAAAGCTCTGTCTCCTTTGTAACCTTATTTTAAAAAAAGTTTTTCGGAGGAAACAGTATCTGCACTTATGCTCTTTGTTTCTTGTTTTTTGCAATTTTTTTCTCCTTCCTCAGTAACTTCTACATCCTTCGTCCTATTCCAGTGGCATTTGACAGCGGGAGAGAGATAATTAAGTTTCACAACAACTGGTCTCTGGGTAGAGGAGCCCCAGATCGATGTCTCAGTTGAGGAAATCCTTCAACAGTTCCCTGTTTGGTCTTGCCTGCCAGCTGCCTTTTCAGAACATGTGTGCTTGGGAGGCAGGCACAGCACAGGCTGCCTCGTCTCCAGCACGGTGTTGTCAGGAAACAATTCCTTCGCTCGGTTGTCCCGACAGGCTCCAAATATTTAAACCTGACAGCGACGAGCATTGCAAAGGCAGAGGTATAAAGAAGGGATTTTCAGCTGTTCGGGGGGGCACGGAGTCGCACCCCTCCCACCAGGAGATGGGGCTAGCTGAATGGCAGATGGGAATCCCCGGGGAGGTGGGGGGGGGATGCCTGCAGTGGGGGACTGCTGCTGCACCCGCAGCGCTCCACCAAAGGCCTTCTCCAGAAGCAGGAGGGGAACAAGGCTCCCGCCGAACATCTGGCTGCAGACAGGCTCCGGTGCAGTCAGACACAGGTATCTCACCTGCTTCCAGGGGAGCCCAGCTGCGTTTTCCACTCGGGATGAAATGGCCTAGAGCAGGGGAGTTACATCAGCTCAAACGCAACCTCCTGGAGCATCTTTCAAATGACTCTTCTTACTCTCTAGTAGTGCCTCCTGTGAGATAAGGCGTCACGCTCTTGCTGAAAGCTCTGAAGCAAAGGGAAGGATTTGGTATAATCCACTCAGACCCTTTTCTTTTTTTTATTTTCTGTCTACTGGAGTATTGGCTTCCATTAAAGATAAATATGCTTCTTCTTCTGTTTTAGCAGTCAGTTTCGCAGAGGAAAGTCCGCTGCCTTTTTATTTCCTCGAATGGTGAATCTGGAACAGAGACAACCAGCTCTCCGAGGTGCTGCTCAGCCCCAGGTGCAGCGGTGATGGCCACGCTAAGTCTGGCCTAAGAGATGAAGCGTGCACAGCACAAGGTGGCACTAATGAGGTACGGAGGGGACAGGGTCCCTCTACCTCCATGATCAGTGTGTCCCTGAGGGTGTCGGACATGGGTTAATCAGTTAGCCGAGATGAACACTAACAATTCATTAGATATCTGTGTTTTACGATGCAGATTCATACTCTTCCCTCTGTCCAACAGATTAGACATTCCTGCTCTCCACGGGCACTAAGCGTGGGCATTTCTAAACACACTGCTTTGCAATGTCATCAGATCCTCAGGATGGGACGTGTATTGAAGACCCCAGACTGTGAGACACGTCAGAGCTACCAGCATGCTCATGGTAGAGGAAAAGGGAAAAGCAGAAGCAGAAATGGCTTGCTCGTCTTCCTACAGAAATAACAAGAAAGGGTACTAAAATATTGTTCCTGACTTAAAAAAAACTACTCATTACTGAACTGACCAGAAAAAAATAAAGAAAATAATTGTTAGTCAAATGTCTGTGTTCAAGGGATCGGAAAAGTGCTCCGGTGGCATTGATTCTTGGATATTGACTGGACTGGTACTGCGTATTTGTTGCTTGCTTGAAGTTTTACACAGAGGTGGCTCAGGGTGGTCACAGAAAAGAAACGTGTGCATAGGCTTGGCTGTGGTGGTAGGGGCATCCCGGTGCCAATCTGAAACTGCTGACATTCAGTAAAACTGTCCTAAGTTTTCCAAGCAGGAAAGTTTCCAGCAATGTCGGGATGGTAATTAGCGATTGATTTTCATTTGGCAGCTTGCCATGTGGTCAGAGTGACAGACACCAGAACTCTTCAACACATTTAATGGGATTTTTCCTTCCATTTACACTATCATAAATTACAAAGCATATTTCACTTCACAAAATAAAACCATTTTCAGATCATTTTTATGACAGTATTAAGTAGTACGTAACCTACAACAAATAGTCCTGTACAAAGCAGGAGGATCTATGGAAGTATTGGGAACTCAGACTATTTAGCATTTGCTCTGCGATCTGGGTTAATCTATCTAGCCCTTAGTTATTTCTCTAGAAGACAACAAATTTACAGTCATACCCTCCACCTCCCTTCATTATCATAGTTACACATATTTTTCAATTTGAATAGAAACATGTGCTCCCTGAAATAATTCAGGAAACTGCATCACTGAGTTACCAAGCATATGATACAAACAATCAAGATGAGGGATTATTAGATTTTTTTTTTTTTTGTATTGAAAATTGAGTTTGGTAGTAAAGTATGTTGTTTTGCTATGCTTGCAGAAACTTCTCATGCTGAGAAACAGTTTTAACATTAGGAATAAGTTGCAGTTAGACTATGAACTCTGTAGGTCAATGTTTGTGAGGGGAGAAAAATATTAAAATTTGGTAATAATTAAATTTACCATCTCCCACATTTCCTACACATTCATTCTTTCCTTTTTCTTTTTTTTTAACCAACCATCAGGAAACACATTCAAGATAAATACCTAAATTTTTAGCAGATTTACTGTACGTTTATAAATACAGAAACATGACAAAACATAACTCGATTTTTACAGAAAAACCAAATCCTTCATAATTAACCCCCAAAAGTGCTAACTTTTCAACAAGGCCAGAAAATATCCAGTGTCCCAGCATCACTTAACTTACATATTCCTGTAATCCAAGAAAAATCTGGCATGTGAAACTGATGCTACCACTAGGACTTTTGAAAAATTCTCAATACCATATTTTACATGGGAATAAAAAAAAAGAAAAACAAAACCAAAAAGAGAGAACATACTGTATGTTTTGGGAAACAGCAAATGGCTAAATGTGTACAATCTTAGGATGCTAGTGCCTAAATGCAAGGAAACCTAAGGGAAGCTGGAATACACACAAGAAAAGAATTCTCCTTTAAAACACTTGCAATGAAAGAGGTATGTCAAGATAATACTGCATTAGTGGTAATTGGTTTCAATATATCATAGCAAAAATGCAGGAAAGAATTACGTGGAAAATAATCAATGCACCGCATTGATTTATAGTTTGCTAAAATAAAATGCCATTCTTTCAGCTAGGTAAAGTAAAAATATCTTTATAATATAGGTTCTGTTTCACAATTGACATATATAATTATGTCTCATGGAAAGGGAAATGTATAGGCGTATACAAGTAACACTGATTAAGTACCTTTTTGCTTCTCTAGCCATATTAAAATATGTTTTGTGTTTCTTAATAAGTTAAGAATAAAATTGTTTGCAACTTCTCAAAACAAATATACATCTGAGGCAAGGCAAAAGATACAAGGTAAGAGGATTTTTTCTGACCTTTTATTTCCCTTCTACAAAGAGGCATATGTCTATGAGACATAGGCTTTCCCTAAACATTTTGGCATCCATCTGCAACTTTGCAGAAATTGAAGTGCAGTCAAGGAACTTTTCCTTTATGTTTTAAAAAAATGTAAAGAAATGTTGTTTTTCCTTCAAACTAATTTTTTTTTTTTTTTTAAACAAATGGCTTTGAAGATATGCCTCTCTGTCTAAAAGAGAACATCTTCATTTTCTATTAAAATCTGCACAATTAACTTCTGGTACCGCATGTCATTCAGCGTAGCAAGGGTACTGTCCTCTGGAGGTCTCATTAAAGTAGGCCCAAACACTATTCCCAGGTTTTCAGCATTCATAAAATTCTCCTTTTCATGCAAGGTAACCCTAAAACAGAAAACAAAACAAAACAGAAAGGTAGCTGTTTACTTCCCAGAAGAAAAGAATCTATGCATCTTAATCTGCTGTCCTGCTTCACATCAAGCAGTGGCAGATAATGACATTTTTCAGTAACAGTTTTTACTTTCACTCCGTATTGGTAACTGTTTCCACAGCAAGTCCAATGTAACTGCGGTGGGGCTGTGATTGCCAAACACCCCTCACCTGACTCTTAAGTGATTTTTCCATGTGGCTATCCATTAGGGTATAAGAACTAGTGGCAAATGCTTTTTTGGAAAGCGTAATCATGGTTTAAATGTTGACGTATGAGCACTCCCCTACGCTACGGTACCTCCAGTTCTCTGTTGCGTTGTGCTTGGTGTGCATCTCGCCAGAGGTGTGGGTGTGCTTCCCAAATGCAAACCCAGATTTTCTTCCTACTACCAGTGACCCCTGTGCTCCCAGAGATGCTTCCAGCCTGCAGGAACCCACCCCTTCACACATTTCTGCCTCGCTGGCTGCCTCAGGCCGACCAACAGCTGGGCGATTCCTATTGCCTGTTACACTTGGGGGGTAGGCTGAATCCCGGAGCGTGGAGAGGCGGCTTGCTAAAGTCAGGCTGCTACAAATGCCGCCTATCCTTGGCAGGGAACTGGCACTTCTAGGAAGGAGCCCAGTCTGTTTCGTTCCCTGACGGGTCATATAATGTAAATACCAGAATAGGTAGGCCGTGTGTGGCTGGAGCAAACAAAGACCACCAAGGATTGTCCGAGCTGCGGAGAAATCAGCCCTGACTGGAAAATTGGTTAGGCATGCTGGAAAACGCAAAGTGTGCTCAAGGTTTTCCTCCAGGTAATAGAGCTGGATCACGTCAGTGCTGTCCCAGCAAGCCTCTGGCATTTGAGTTCGGCCCTGAGAGCGCTCTCGCACGGCAGCGTACAGACAGCCACGGTCCCTTCATCGGTCACGGTCCCCCGTGGAGCACACACTTGCAGTTGCTCAGCACAGCACGGGTGAGGTTTCACATCTCCTCCCTACACGACTCCTCTGCCAGGGTGGAGCACACCTGGTTTTGGAGCCAGCTCTTCTGGCAACAGCCGAGACCGCCCCTGGCCGCGGCAGTGGCTTCTCTCATGCCATCAGGGGAGCACAGAGAGGCTGAAACCAGCAGTAATCTGCTCTTCCCTTGTTTTCAAGGTCCTTATGTGATGAGGCTTTGCTTCTACTGTTAGCTCTCTGCCAAAAGTGGCTCTGTCACAGAATAACACTGATCCTCTTTGCTTTCAGGACAGAAATCCATTAGTGCCCCCACTCAGAGATATGTCCTCATCTTCTAGTGTGGATATGTTAGCTGTGCTTTGCAAGGAGGAAAGACAAACCAAGGCTGCCCAGGCCAAACCAGTTCTGTGCAAGTGTGTGTGTAACACTCTGCTTTCCTTCTGTGGACGTACGTAGCACAGATGTTGAACAGCTAAGCAACGCCACATGCACCTTACTAGCACCTCTGTGCAGGAGCGTGGGGCTTGCTGCATGGCCTGAGGTGAACACAGAGAAGATTCACAGCTTCACCGCAACGTCGGCATGGATGGAGCTCTATGTATTTCATCACAGGAGGGACTGCTCATGCTATTGTATTTCCTCCAATTTTCAGCAAAAAGTTATCAGAAAGATAACTGAAGAAAGCAATTAATTATTTGACTGACAAACTCGTTTTTCATTGATGACATTGTCCTCTTTCTGGATTTTCCTTTCAACAACTCAGTGCGGTTTCTTTTCTTTTGAGAAACAGCGCTGCTGTAGAGGCTGTGATCCTGCAGTCTTTACATAGACTCCTCGACACCAGCGCAAGTTTTCTCCGTGCAGGAAGAGCCCTGTGAGGCTGGAGTTAGGACTCTGTGTTTAATCTACAGAACAGCATAGTGTGAACCTAAAGGATCCTTCCCTCTTTTGCATTCAGATCTCTCCAAGACACTCTCCATAGGAACTGACATGCACTTTTTTTTCTGCAGAGACGCTGAAAGCTATTATTTGGGAAAGGAGAAGAAACTCATTGCCTGACTTGCAGGTATTTGAGAGAGAAAGCTTCATCAGCTGTTTGGACTATTTTTGTCTCATCAGTAGTTCAACTCAACAGCTGAACCAAAGCCTGTACTGCAGTTCATGAAAAAGAAGGAAGGCAAGTCAGTACTTGTTTATTAAAAATTTGCTGCCGGGACATCAGAGTACAGATTCTGAATGCAGGTCACTTGTCTACAGCTTCCACGGGCCTTCTTAAAAGCCAGCACGGTTCATCCTGAGCTGTCCATGCACATGTGCTGACAAGGGTGGATATTTGCACACCTCGTTTCTGCAGAGTCCAGAAAAGCTCCTGCATGCCCAGGTAACGTCTCATTGAAAGGAAAAATTACTCAGTTGTTATGACCTGAGCCAACCCAAAATGAGAAAAAGTCTCTGCATAATGAGAACCTGATTGAGCATGAAATGCACTTCACACAAGCTCTCTGATGCAATTTTCCATGAGTTGAGGTCTTTTTCTTTTCAAGTTGGCATTAATAGTGCACAGTAGTGCAGATCAAACCCAGAAAATACTCCAATTTTGCAACTGTGTTGCAAGTAGTGGACAACTAAGAAGAGATCAAGGTATTGCTGTATAAAAGGTGAGTAGTCTTATTCCTCCCTTATGCCCTTTTCTGTTGTTTCCAAGTAGCACCACAAACTTTAACCCGAGACAAGGGGCATCTTGGGCAATACATCCTTAAATGAAAGCCTGCTTTGAGATGACAGTGCCAGTCTCCACTCAGCTTAAAAACTTACAAAGAAGACTTTCTGAGGCAGGTAAATACCCAAAGTAGCAAAGTAGAGTTGGCATGGTTTTGAAAAACAGTTTTCCTTGAAATTAGTGAAAGTGAGGCACCGGCTTTGGAGCACTTCATAGTTTTCCTAGATACCTAGCTGAAAATTTGGAAAACTTGGCAGTACACTGCCAAGTCACTTTCAGTAATGAAATTTAGGCACTTTTGAAATGTTTGTATGCCCCGTGAAGCCCTATGTATGCCTTATGTATGCCTAAAGAAGCTTTGGAAAGCAAATGAGGCAGAGTGTGTTTAAATCCAAAAGAGATGTAACTGGTAAAGGCCTGCATTTCTGTTACTACTTGTATAAACATAGGCTCTGCTTGATTCTTAACTGTGAAATGAGCAAACAACTCGTAAGAGACAGCCCTTTCTTTTTAGGGTTATCATTCAAGAAGACAAATCAGGAGGTAAGGAGAGGCAGAAGCAAAGCACCATCAAGTGACTTACTGAAGCACATCTACCACATCTCTGAGGTACCTACAATTCCAGTATTTTTCATATATTATCTGCCCCGGGGAAGCATGACAAATCTCAATTAACACTTCAAAGGTTTGCAGTGATCTGCCAGCAAAAGGATCTAGGCTATGTATGTGCATAGCTTACATGCATTTGTACAAACATAGCTTGTCTGCTTTTTTGTAACATTACTGTTCTAGTGGCAGTGCCCTAATGGAAACTTTATTGGTACTTTCTGTAATATCTCTCTTTCAAGGCAGAAAATTGTTAAGCTCTTCAAGAATTATCCCACATGCCAATTAACTCACTTTTTGAGATGAATCATTAGGTATCTAAGTGTCTCGTAGTGAGCAGCAGGGAGTAACATCAACACTTCATGTATTGCTTCTAGTCGTTCATCAGGATTGGAGACTTCTGTAAAAACACCAAACAGGATTAATGTTAATAGGGATTTCCATTTGTAAACAGCAATAATTCAGGAAGCTAACTTATTATGATGGAGTCATCTGCGAGCCACTGATTGTGCCTGTAGGGATAAAAAACTCATAAACATGGAGCTTATCAGCAGCTTCTGCGGCCTCCAAAAAAATGGCTTTACAGAGAAATCAGCAACAAAGACCACCCAACAGTTGTCTCTATAGCCTGTAGCTCTACCTACAGGCCTGTATAAGTACAGTACCCGAGCTTCATTAAGTGCTTCATAATACTCTGCCCAGATCTGACTCCAAAATCTTACATGAGATTACTTCCATTAGCCTTCACAACCAGATGAGAGTGTGGATATATGCTTTTAGAGACTATGCTTGGATATGTAAGTTTAGCTAGAGATTGAAATGGCATGGAATTACATAAACAAAGATTTCTGAACATATTTAAATACGTAGGTATCAGTGATTGAAGAGCATCAGTGCTCACTTCAGACTGTTTGGCAATCTCTCTAAAAATCTGAGCAGGATTTACATGTATTTTACATGAAAAGTATAGATTCATAAACTGTGAACTTAGTCAGAGTTATATTTGCTGCATTACTTTTCATACTAATGGAGCCCAAAATCTTGTAAGATTAAGAACCTCTATGTCCTTCTTTTAAGAGATTGATGTAGCGACATGATAGGAACTGCTTCCTCTGGGTATGTTCTTTAGAGGACAAGTGAAGAGCAAGAATAATTTCTCTGCCAAGAAGGAGGAGCAGAGTGCAGGAGAGAGTTATCTGTAGGTGCATGGGGAGTGCAAGGTGGGGTAAGCCAGAGGGGAAGGGAAGGCAGCACAGTCACACAGACAGACCATTCTGCTGCTTATCAATATACTGGGTGCCATTTCAAAATTACTAACGCTACTTTTTAAAGAGGAAAGCATGCTACTTCTCAGATACCTCAGCTCTTTGACCTTTTTCCTAATAATCTGATTTTGATGCAATCTATCTGTTGAGTTTTCATTAGGGACTATCATTACACGGAAGGCTGTGCCCTGGAAAGCAGAATTTGAGGCAAATCTCAGCGCTCTCTGTCAACACTGTGGCAACGAATGCTGCTGTCCTCCTCCCTCCCTGACAGCGTGCACCCACGACCTGCTAGCTCTGGGCGGAGGGTAAGTGCATGTGCCTCCCACGTGGGCAGGGGTTAGATCCTGTAGGACTTCAAATAAACAGTGGATGCACCTGAACTGGGAGGCAGGTGTGCTTTGTGGGGGTGTCTCACTGCTCCGACCCCTCACCGCCTGAAGGAGGGGGCGTGCTTGTCTGCAGGGCAGATTTGGTGCCAAAGGAGGCCAGATGGGGAAAACAGAGGGGAAATGGGACGCATCTTCAAGGCTCACAGTGGTCACTAACCCTGACCCCTCACTGATCACCCAGCTTTGCATGTCCCTGGCAGTCAGCGCTGTGGCCGTGGCACCAGCCCTGGGATCCTCCCAGTGCCAGATGAAGTCCTTGCAATGGCACTGGACATTCTACCTCTTGGTACAGAATTTGGGTGGTTTACGAGAAAAGAGCAGGCGATTCCATTCAAAACCCCATCCCAGGGCACATCACAGCTTCACTGACCAACAGTGAAACCACACTTTCTGAAACCAGTCAGTTGTTTTCACACCCTACGTTTATTTCTTTAAACTGCACAATGTCCTATCTGATTAACAACTAGGCAAAAGTTTCATGTGAAAGAAGGACATGGCAGAGAAGTAATGAACAGAACGATGCCCTTGCTTCCAATTTGTTGTCTGTCTTTTCTTCTTTAACATGGACAGGTTTATGGGTGGGAAATGTAATTAAAGATCAGTACAAATTACTATGCAATACTTACTTGCTGCCTCTATGAACTTGGAATAGGTGTCATAGGTGATCACGGGAATCGGTAAGTCTCTGAAGTATAGCTTCAGTGCTCCAGCAATGATGTTTATGTCTGGATAAATACTGGCAGAAATATCAGCCTTGTCACCATCTAGAAGAGGAGGAGGAAATCTTTTTGAAACCAGGCTAATTTTGACTGAAGCAAGGCTAGGCTTCTAATTCAGATTTATTGTGTCCAACCTGACAAGGAAAAACAACCTGAAAGCATTTGGGAGGCTTAAATGAGAATATATTGCTACCAACTTTACCATATATGAATGAGGAATGGTAGTTCATTTATCTTCTAGTAAACAATTTATTTGCTTGCATCTCTTGGAGAGGCTGGTGACAACATCAATAATATCTGCAGTGTACCATCTCACACATAATGTTTTAACGTTGGATGAAAAATCATGTTAATAAGGTATTTACTGCATTTGGCCCATTTATTCCCTGAAAATAAGCTACTAATAACTCGTTCTGATGTTGTGTTTGCTATCCACAGATCAACATACAGGAATATGAATGATTCTTTTAATTTTCACTTGGGGAAACAGAGGCACAGAGAAATAACACAAATTTCCAATGACCCTCAGGAGACCAGCAGGAAGAATCAGAGGAAACATCTGAATCTTTTAAGTCCTGCACTAATCTATCTATACTGATTAGCTAATATGAAAGCCATCTTACTTTTTGGATGTCTTCTAATGTCTTCATATTGGACTTATTTATTTAGAGCAAAGATTTGAATTTAAATAGACATGCTATGGCATTTAGCTATACATTTTATACTGAAATGTGGATCGCAATTTGTTAAACGAATATGGATACTTGCAATGGATGAACAGCTAAATAGATGAATTATGCAACTGAAATGACATACATTTTGTTTGCCACATATTATGACACAGTTAGTCAGAACTCCATTATGGAGCACTTTTAATCACATGAGCTTGACATTTACAAGTGTGGCTGGTGAGCCCTTGACCCATGCATGGCTTGCGATGAGTGAAATTGCAAGAACTAGCAGTGAGGCTGGAGCACTATTATTTTTAAAGTTCAAATGACTACACCTGGTCTGTACTACCTAGTACCTTCACCCCCACATTTTTCTTCAGACTGAGAAGTTCTGCTCTCCTCCCCTCTGGGGGCCTGTCCTTGGCGGTCTTCCACTAGAAAGATGGGGTAGGACACTGGTCAAGCAGGGGCTAAGGCTGTCTGGATTTAACCCCCTGCTCTACCTCAGGCTACTCTGAGATCAGTTATACCCCTCAGACTTTAATCCCCGCCTTCCAAGTGAGGATAACACCGCTTCCCTTGCAGGAGGTGGTGACGATGAGGACCATACGGTGCGTGGGGCGATGTGAGGTTATGCTTGCTCGAGCAGTGGAGAGGAGTTTGCCTGTATCTGCCAGGAGGTGCAAACACAAGCTTGGGCTGTTGCCACCGAGGCGCTGACGTGCTGTGAAGCCATCGCCTCGCTCGTCTCGCTGCAACTAGTGATGGTAGACATGCCCTGACACAGACAGACGAGTGGGTGTGCTTGATACACGGTGTCCAAGATGGTGATAAAGGCTTTCACAGCAGAGTAAAAGAGTTTATATTGATTGAAGACATTTCATACAAACCTATGGCATTAATCTTGAAGGGATATGTCCCGTCCAATGTATGCACATAATTCTCATTAAGACTAATAGCACTACATGTTCTCATCAAGAGGAGATTATACGCTTAAGTGTTTAAAACAAGCAGCCTTTCTTGATGCAGCTGAGCAGTCTGAATACATCCATCAGTATTTAATTTAATACAGCATCAATAAGCCCTAGGAGGATGTTTACACCGCCCCAGTCTTTTGTTTAATCCACACGTTCCAGGCACAGTAGCATTAGTCTTGTAAAGCTTTGTGTGGAGAGCTCTGTTTAACTGACGGACACCGAGCACTCAGAGCGCTACGCTGAAAGCAGATACCTCCAAGGAGCCAGCAGCTGCATCAGAACAGATAGAGCAAAGCAGAAGGTTGCATCTATTATCCAGGTCACCAGAACACTAAATGGAAGTGTTATTTATTTAGTACTCTTACAAAGCAGCCCAGCAAGGTTCCTTAAAGGGGCACTTCAGCGAGAAGTACTTCCAGATACAGTGTACTTCAGCCATACCTCATATTTACATATTCGCTTACTGTAGGAAAAACGCATTCATTCCCAAGTCAAAGATTTTTCTCTTCACTTCAGAGACAAATGTACGTTCACTGGAAATGCTCTGAAGATTATTTTAAAGTGAGCGTAACAATACATCTGTTATAACATACCTACCCACTTCTGCAGTGGGTATGTAGGGGAAGGTCAATTTTTATTTTCCTTTGGTAGATTTTCGATTGTAATTTTTTTTTTTTTCCCCCCCCCCTCAGCAATTGAAGGCCCTTGGCAGGCTGCATTTATTTCTTATCCTCACCAAATTCCTGGATTTGTATTTTTATTTAACCACACTTAAAATTCAAAGCACTAAGAAAGATAAGTGAATTCATTGCGGGTGAAGTCATGACACATTTCACAGAGGATCCTCTGCAGTAGAATGCTGTATGATGTATGAACTATATCTATATTATATGGTACCTTCTGCATTACCACAATATTTTTTTTTCACTCTTTAATACGGTAACTTTCCTCAGATTGTAATTAGTATTTTCAGTGGCCATATATTAATACAATCTCTTTTTTTTTTTTTTTTTTTAAATTTTGGATTACAAACATACAGTTAATTTCAGCTTTACAAACCTAATCCTACCCAAACCCCATAATTTCTATTTCCGTGTTACTTTGACTCTCAGCATATTTTGTTGCATTATGTTAAAGTTTGAATATCTCAAGAAAAAGAAGGTCTTTATTCTGTTCCTTAAAGGTTTCAGCTGACTTTGTATGCCATCGAAATATATCAGTAGTTTATTAGAGAATGAAATGAAGTATTAGATTCTTAAAGCCTCAGCTATGCCTTCTGAATACTGAATTACATCTCTACGAAAGTTCCTTCTTCCTTAAAGCTTTGTTTTCATTGCACAACCTTTAACATGCTAACATGTTGCTATGTGGTTTATTGGATTTGCCATTTGACAGGTTTTCAGCTACACTGGCAAAAGAGTGAGTATGAGTTAGGATGCCTCTAAGTACTCATGTAATATTTAACAGTGTAATATTTTTAGCCAGTGTATTGTACCAGCCAGTCATGCAAACAAGTGGGGGGACAGAATGCACTGGTGACAATGGCAGCTCTGTGGATAAAGCACACAATGAAGGTTTTCTGGATGCCACAACGCCACAGCTCAACAATGCTGACAGAGAGCAACTGTCATTCTACAGCACCAACATTCACCAGATTAAATAAATCCACATTATTCCCCCCCTTCTCATTACAAAAACCACTGAAATGGAACATTGTCAGTGCCACAGAGAGCCTAATGCTAATTTACAGTAGGGGTATTTACACTGCTTTAGCTTTGGAAGGGAGTCTTAGTTTAAATCAGATGAGGACCAACTTCTCCCTGTTTTAAAACCAACTATCCCAGCTTCACCGGGTCCAAATAATATTATGTGGGGTGCCACTCTCTTCCCAAGATGTTAACTTTCAAACCTGCCTTTGCTTTTCTGTTCTCGCTGTAATTCTTCAGAAGCAACAAGCGAGTGTCCCTTTGGCAAAGCAGAATTGGTCAGAGGGAGGGCTGGCTCCTCCTCACTGCACCCCTTCAGCTGCACATGAAATCAGCAGGAGAGGTACCCTATGGCCGAGACAGCCTCTGTACCTCACCCCTCTATCATACTGTCTTCTGGCCCTGGTGGCTTGACAAAGAGTTTGGGAAACCAGAAAGCTCGGCGGCATTGTTTGAATGATGTGTCCTGCAAGCCCGTTTATTAAAAGTTGTATTTCCAGAGATGCGAGAGCATACTGGCCTTCTAGCCAGGTGCCTGGGGACTGACTCAAAAACGACGGGCAGGGAGGGACCTCTGCAATGCCCGAGTGCAGTGCTCTGCTACTGCAGGCAACACACCATGTAGCCCTTCTCGTAGACCCCTCAACTTTCATTTTAAAATTAGCTAAGGTTTTTATCCCTGCTCTTATTAGAAGGTTGCTTCAGAGCCTTGTTTTCAGATGGTTAAAAAATGGTCTTTAAATTGCCAAACTATGTTTATTCCCGAACAGTGTACACCCTCTAGTATTGTACCAAGACTATCTATTAAATTAAAGAGTTCTCTGGTTCATACCCCTGCTCTCAGCTCCTCCTTTGACAGCTACCTATCCCAAGATCTTTTAAAACACATTTACCTTCTGCTATGCAGCATGGTCCAGAGAGGTTTGAGATAGTGACGTGGCCATTGATATGGCTGCTTCTGCAGCAACACCTATCTATTGACCAGAAGTGATCAGGAATTTTCCATTTTATATTTCAGACACAAATTTTCCTTTTTTTTTAAAAAAAAAACTTTTGAAGAAAATATGTTAATTTCCTGTACTGAATGTGGCATCAACAGTTCTGTAAAACTCCCACAAACTTCACTTTCCGGGCAGAAAATGAAATTTGAACAAAGGCCTTCCAGGCACTGCTGGAGGTGAGACCTGAAACTTGGCTCTCAGGTCCCTTCTCTCCCAGCTCTGTCACCTGGGACAGAGATCTAGGATATCCTACATCCTTGGGATAGTCCATTCCCTGCTCCTCTGGCCTCTAGGGCTAAGCAGGGGTAACTGGGCAGCAGAAAAGCAACGTTCCTACCTGTGGGGCTGGAATGCAAAAGACAGGGTGGGGTCCCTGTCTCGGCAAACTCGGATCTGACATGGAAGCAAGCCCTGAGCTGTCAGGTTGGAAACGTCTTGCCAATTCAGCCTTCTGCCAGCTGACAACCACCTTCTAGCTGCACAGTCCACAAGTCAGAACAAAAAGTCTATTTTGGCTTTATTTAAATCACTTCCTGCAACCTCCCCCCCCCCCCCCCCCCCCCCCCCCGCCCCGAGGTCTTTCTGCTTTTCCATCTCAGTTCAGGGAGAAGACATTTTCAAAACCGGAAAGTTTTGAAAGTTTCCAGCTGCTGGTCTCAGCAATACTCTAGCCATGCAATTGTGTTAACTAGGTTTTGTTCACTGTTCCGCTGCTTTTAGCATTATTCATGGCAACAATCTTTCCTTCCTTTCTTAGCCCTTTTCCCTCATGAGTAAGACAATGAAGAGAAAAGAGAAAGAGAATAAAAGAAAATGAAGACAGAGCTTTTCATCAATTCATGCCCAATGGTTTTCCCCACAGCCCTTGTATGTAAACCTGGTTCTTGCTCACTCCACTTCCATGATTATCCATGCTTTTTTTTTCCTTTGGAAATCTGATAATGCTAGTGGCCTTACTCTTCCTGTTTCTAGGTGCTGCCTTCTTTGCTGGTAAATCACACTTTCTTCCTTTCCGTGGGTCTAATTGAAATGGGTATTGCCACCAGATCATGCCATGAGTACAGACAATAATAAAAGATATGCTTTCTGCAAAACTGAACTGGCTCCAATGGTTCAAATCATTTTTAAATGAACTACAGCTGCAGCGATATTCCAGTCATGCTCAGACAGAAATTTCCATCTGCTTGCTTCAAACTCTTCCCTCTTCAACCTGTGCTTCTCCTTCTGGGTTTCGTTCAGGCTGGTACACTGGGAGGATAATTAACACGCAGAACAAAAGGGTTTGCCAGGCCAGATCTACCCGCAGGGAGCGGGGTGGGACCTGTGAGGACTGTGACCCTCTCAGCAGCACCTGCTTCATGTGGCTCATCTGCAACACGTATCTTCACAGCCGTATCACTGGGCATCTCCTTCACCCAAACCACGTCTGACCTATGCGCGTATACGCGTATGTTCACAACTGCAGCATCCAACACATTTTAAAATACGTATTATTTTTAAAGGCTATTTTGGTATAGCATGAAAACAGTCACTTTGGAAATTCCTGGTTGAACTTTCTCTGCCAGCGATGCCTGCATGACAAACTGCTTCCAAACAAAAAAGTATTCAGTCGCAGTAAGTGCAAGACATGCCAACCACAGACCTTTCTGGCCCTGCTCAGCCTCCCCTGGAGCCCCCACACCTCCTGCCCATGGGCCCCCTGTCCCTGCCTGAGTCACATCACAGCTGTCCCCAGTTGTGCCATGGCCACGAGTGTGCCTGGCTCTGCACCCCTCTGGTCGGTACCCTGACCCGCAGGCTGACTTTCTGGCTTGACCTGGGCTTGCAATCACGGGACTGTGTCTGTCCCTTTTCCCTAAGATAGCAGAGGTAACACCTGAAAAAAAATACACAGGAAGGAAACCACTATTTACGGGAAAGAAGAATAATATTTATGTAGTTTCTTAAATGTACTTGAACATGTTTTCTGATGATGAAGGCCCAGCTCTGCACCCACTTACGTATATACTTGAAATTAGTCCAGTGTGCAAAGACTGTGTGCACCATCAGAACCAATGTAATCAGCTAACTCAACTAAGAAGGGCTACTGGAATAGTAATTAGGCAGTGTTTTAATTATTAGTTTTTCAATATGCCATACAACCAATCTGCTCGACGCTCCTCTCACCTGCTGTGCAGATGCAATCATGTGCACAGTGGTGCGGTGTTTTCCACAAGGCTACATGCAGAATGACTTCCCAGTTGGAGTTCCCAGTTCTTAAACTCATAATAGATTATTGTACTGTAAAGCACCGAGTCTACTAAATATAGGACTAAGAACTTTCCCCTGGTACTATCTAGGTTCGTACTTGAGCTGGCAGCCCAGGCTGTGCTTCTAGCTTGAGCAATCATCCAGTCCCTTGAGCACTTAGCCTTCTGCCTACCATTACTTACTGTTTAATTATTCCTTCCCAATATGACATATGATTTCTTCTTATGAAAAGCACTACAGATTAATTTAAGAACTCAGAAAAGACAGGTTGCTTTCTGTACTTTTGCTTATATGTCAGCTTCTTTACCATGGTACCTATAAACCCCCCCCCCCAAATCTGAAAAGCCATAGAACTGAAAGCTTAGATTAAAACTGTACAAGATTAAAAAATGGTATACCTCGATCAAAGGCCATTTTCACATCTTCAATGTGCTCAGTGAAGCCTGAGACTCTATAGAGGCCCTCGGACTTTAAACCTGAAACAAAATGCTATTGGTTAACTTTGTTTCAGTAGCCAACAAATATTCAGGCTTAAAAACAACAAAGCAAGAACAACAGATCTAGTAAGTGTAGAAAACTATTAATTGTAATGTGAAACTCTGGAGTATTTAAGGAAGGATCAAGTTAATTTTAAATTGTTTTTTAAAGGAGTAAAGAATTTTAGAGTTCATACTTTCTGATTTTGTTAGGTACACAGTTGATTACGTTAGAGGAAAACATTGCAATTTGCTAATGGTGGTGCATGTGATGTTATCATGATTTATTAATTTTATGTGGGAGATTTTCCTGGATTTGGCTGTAATTAATAAAGCTTTAGAGGTCTACTTTCCTTTTACCAGTTGCTTAATGATAAATAGCAACACAAGTAAGAGCCTGCCTTTTGCTATGAGCACGTTTGTTCCCAGTTTTGCTATTAGCTTTTACGTATACACAGCAGATAAACAGCTGTGATGGATACTGCTCTTCTCCACATCAGTACATCCTTCTACAGCTCTTCCAGCACAAGAGACCTGCTCACTTATACAACTCTCCCTGCATTGCTCCACACCAACATGAAATGCAGGGCAGCCCAGCAGAGCAAGCAGAGCTAGCCAAGCAGAGTTACACACATGTTATTTATTTTAATCCCAGAACTCCTTATTGTGACTATGTATAGTGCTAACCTACTTATAACATCCAATACACTTTGTTTTCTTAAGAACAAAATCAGTATCTTACACAGTTCTATGGCAATTAACGAAATTTAAAGAGGTTGAAAAAACAGAGTGGGCAGCAGATTTTATCTTAATCAATAAATGTACAAGTGAGGGATTATATTTCAAATGCAATGTAGCTTCCTGCTCTATCACTGGAGTAAAGCTCTTCTGTCTTAGTCCAAACTATTCTTTCCATTTGTCCCTGCAGTGATGATATAATCCTTGCAGAGCTTTACAGAACAGCGCAGGGGATTTACTTGTAAATCTTTGATTCATTTCAGTAGATGATGTGTGGCTTTGAAATCCCTATGGCTAGTATCAGTGTATTGCCATGCAGATTACTGGGATGCCATGAATTCAACGTTATGAGACTCATGTGTGAAGCTATGACTAACAGGGAAATTTGGCTTACCAGGTAGCATGACATAACCATTTGCTATCCAAAGCAAAAATATGTGATCATTACTGTGTTGTGTTGGAAGGGATATGGTATTTCTTCAACCGGGCGTGCGTCGGCGTACCAAAAACCTGTCACAAGCTGGAGTTCTGGCTGTGACATGCTGGCCTGAGCCATGGCATCCATCAGTCAGTTACTGATCATCATGAGAAACCCTGTGCAGTTTGTGACCTACTGCAAAACGCCACAGCCCGTGACCTCACATGTCCGAGTCACTTCCAGTCACTTGTGTCCTCTTGCCCATAATGCCCAGAAAGGTTATTAATAAGGGATTTGATTTAAACTGATTACTCTGAAATCGGAAGTGTCCCTGGGTGTGTTAAAAGAAAATAATGAAAAAAGGCACATGAACATGAACTTAAAGTTCAGTTTAAAGTTCACCCCTCTCAGAAGTGTAACGTAATACATGTTTTGACATGTTTTCAGAAAGCATTTCAGGAAACTGCATTATGAAATGCCGTGATTTAATTTTACTAGCTAATGCTAAGCAATGTATCACCTACACTGAAAAAACCCTTCTCTCATCCTGCCTTCAGTGTGCGTGACACACTACCATGTCCTAGCTTAGCGCTTAATTCAAGTCATCTTCATTCAGTTGTGTCTGCTGCTTTCCTAAGCACACAAACCTCTCGCTTCGATCTCTCGAATGCATGAATCCACAACCATTGGCCTCTGGGTATTGTGGGCTTTCACGAGGGTGGTGAGATCGCAGCAGTAGACTCGCTTTATCCTCTTGAGGTCTGGTTGGCAGTCGTTGGGCACGTATTTGGAGCACTGCTTATGTACGTTCAACCCGCAGTCTGTAAACAGAGTTAGCCAGGTTAATTCATGAATACTAATGCTGGTAGGTATTGTCTGACAATTTATTTCCTTGGACCACATCAAGCAAAGGGCATAACTTCCCCATCAGTCAGCAAAGCTAGAAGAAATAGGATGGAGATGAGGAGGACAAGCATGGAAGTCTGTAAAAAACTTATGGTGGGCAAAGTGAACTCCAGCAGAGTTGTTAAAAAGCTTTAAAAGCTCGGGATGTCCCTCACAGCTCTCTGAGCCGGAGGTGACTGCTGGTGTGGTGTGGGTCAGTTCACTACCAGACATGTAGCTCTACGTGTTACGTTTGAATGTGTGGGACTTCTGGTTTTTTTAGTTCAGCCTTTTAATAAATTAGCACAGTAATGACTGTCTTCTACTGGCCAGCTCGTGGCTTAGCACTGCTACTGGGCGAAGGACCTAAGATCCTCCTGAGCACTCAGGCTGAGGCAGTGCTTTGAGCTGGCATTCCTCCCTTTCCCTTTCACATTCCTGGAATGTCACATTTTGGCTCACTCTGCCACATCAGCAGCCTCCCCATCCTTGTCTCATCACTTCACTGGTGACTAAAGTGTTCCCTGTGTTTAGTCTGTAGGTCAGCTTAGGCACATAAAATGCTGGGAAAGGCATGATGTAAAAAAGTGATTAATTTTACAAATGGTTCTTGGTGTCTTATCCCAGAATTAAATCCTACTCTTGTTTGCATGAGTGGGTTTCTATTAACTTAAACATCACTGCTTGATCTCTGCAAGTTGAATTTTTCTAATAGATTCAAGCATTCAGACAAATTAATTTACAAGCCTCAGTAAAGCAAACACCACCATTGTGAATTACATAATCTCACATAACTCTGATTCCTGCTTTAATGCCTTCCCAGTCATGCCCATCACTGCTGGTACCCTTTGGGATAACTTAACATATCTAATATCATCACTGGCAAGTCACTTACTGTTTTTTCATGTTGATTTACTACCTGAGCTATGAAAAATGTAAACATGACTCTACTACTTGCAGCACACTTCAGTATTATTCTCTATAAAATATTAATCAAGAAAAATCATATAATCTCTACAAACACACCTACACATTTAATGGAACTGGGTGGGTTTTTGTGTGTTTCTCCATACAATTATTACTGCATAATACATTATTGTTCTGTGAAATCTAAACAAATGTGAGCAGCTGCAGTTAGGATCCTCTCTGTATTGTTTTCAGTGCTGATGTCCAAGCATGTGAAGTTAAATCCAAATGCATCTGTCTACTTAGAGTTAAATGTTGGTAATTTAATGAGGGAGATTTTATGTTTCATACTAAATAAATAAGCCTTTTCATAAGTTTCATATTTTATGTCTGTGAACATATACAGTGCTATGTATTAGTGAGGTCAGTTTTTGCACACTTGTGTTTAAGATCAAATAGCTTGAAAAGCAAACTACTATTCATGTTCCTCTTTTTGAATGTCCTTCTCATGTTCTTTGTGTTACCATTATTCACCTACAGGCAGACAAGTTGTAGCAGTATCTGAGACTGCGCTTGTTAAAACTGTGCATTTGTGAAAGGTATGTGATCCTTCAAACTGCAGTCTAAAATTTAGGTAAAAACGACCTCCTCTACCCGTGAAAGGCAGATGTCAGGGTCGGATGTGTTCGGTGCTAGTCTGAGATCAGGAATGCCTGGAGGTCAAGGCAGGGAGAGGTAAGAGCATATGCAGGTGAGACATGGAAGGGATTGAAGGTCTGTAGAAAGAAGTTATGAAACCCCATTTGCAATGCACCAAATACTATTTCATTTGCTGAATCCAAAAGCTCATGATGTGATGATTCTTGCATTTTTCCAAGATGATTATTCTTCACAAAAGAACAAACAGCTTTAAAATAACTGAAGCACTATTAAAATGCTAATACAGTTACAGAGGCACCAGAAAACTAATCCTTCTAGGAAAATGAAGGTCATATTTTTTGCTTTCCCTCGAGGTGGGATACTTCGGGCTTGCACCAATGCATGGTATTTTTATAAGAAACAGGTGACAGTCTTTTTGTAGACAAAGACACTTCTCAACAATTGGTGGCAAAAAGCTGAGTTATGAAGCCTAGTTGCTGTCTGGTTCTTCCATTTCCAGGGCTTCTTTCTTAAAACACAAAATCATTCAGGGGTGACTTAACCGTAAAGATCAATTCTTAATGGATACACCAAGGCACACACATGACCAAGGTACTACAAAAAGGGTGTCACCCTCAGCGACCACGGGCTGATGGCTTCATATCTAACCCAGCTAATGGGGAAAAAGACAACGCTCTAACTTGCACAGGAGGATTTCTTGCCTTGGTCTGTAAAGTAATCCCTACCACTCCTCCTGCGGGGAGGGCAGGCTGTGGGTGGGAGAGATGTCTCAGCATTTCACGAGAATGACAGAAAATGTTGAAGGACTACCTGAACACCTCACTCCCTGAGCGATGAGACCCCACATGAAGTTGGCACAGTATTCACACCAGTGCGGACCTCGAAATGTATGGACCTGTAATACAAATGGGGGACAAAAAAAAAAGAAATGGGGTCATTGGGAGGCAGATGGTCTGACAGATGGAACAACTGAAATGGATAAACAACAGAAGACTCAGTAGGAGTAAATCTTTAGCACAGAGTGCCCACATCTTTCCAGAGTCTAGATAAAATAAACCATGGGGACAGAAATTTGCTTTGATCTTGGAAGTTTATCTTTCAGTAGGCTTAACATAACAGAACTGAGCTGTGTACGACACCAAGACCGTATCATTTTTGTTAGCTGACACATTAGCTATAGCAGAGAGGAGGAAACCAGGTTCACTAGTCAAAGGAGAAAAAAGTAAAACTAAAAATCCAAGGAACTGCAGTCAGTGCATTTATTTGACTAGTTCAACAAAACAGGAAAGTTTCTGAGACTCAAATGCTCATCAACAGACCACATGAAAGTAGGGGAAATGCAGTGACAGAAAATCCCTTCAAACACACCGTGCTTTGGTTCTGTGTGTGTGACCAGAGATATGGTGCAAGACCCATGTTCCAAAAGCACCACTCAAGTTTGAGCACACTATGACTATGGTGTTACATGTCCATTTCTCTGCAGTAACACTGAACAAAACTCACGGTGATTGCTGTAAATTTGTGTCAGGGATGAATGGTACGTGGAGCCACTGCGGGCAGCATCTGGGCAATGATCTGATTTTGCGCATTGTAACCTATTAGTGATAAAAGCAAATGACACCTTCCACTCCAGCAAGTAAACTGAATTCACATAGGGAAAATATGTCAGTAGGCTCTTTTTCAGTGGATCAACCTTCATTTTGCTACAGTCCACACATGAATAAATAAGGAGGAATAAAATGCCCTGCGTGTTGACAGAGCCCACAGCTCCCCAGCCAGGTGTTGCACACCACCGCCGCTTCCTCCACTGCTTTTCCAAAGGCTACAGTGGAAGACCTTTTTATTTAAGATGTATGTTCTGGTAAAGTAAGCATTTCATTTTCATTGAAAAGAAGAGTAAATAGTGAGGTCTGTGTCTGGTATGAACTAGTTCTGGCCAGAGACTTAATTGAGCTTAACAAAACATAAATCATGCACACTCGGGCTGCTAGTGCTTCCTTTTCCTTCTCTCTGCTCTTGCTTACCCATTGGGTGGATGGCTGAAAGGCCACTTCCACCCCCTGGGATGGGGAAAGCTGTTCTTTACTTTTCATAGAGTAAAAAAAATGATCACTGACCTTTTCAAAGAAGCTCGGTGATGTTTTAACCCAAGCATTTGGCTTGCTAATGTTTTCGGTCCATTTGTCTGCAGGATCACACCTAAATAAGCCTATACTCTTGAGTGCTTTCCCCAAGAAGAGGAAGTATTGTGATTTTAATATAGAACTCTCTTTCTGATCTAGTGATAAAAATGTGAGCCTGACCACAAATGACTCCTGACCAACAATTCACAGTCAGTAATTGCATGAATAAGCTTAAAGCAATAGTAATTCTTCCTCCCTTTCGACAGAAAAAGGTCAAAACTATAATGTCTGACTGGTCATATTTATTTTTTGAAATGGTATATTACCTCTCAGGAAAATGTGTATCTCTGGGAAACAACACTTTGCAGTAAAGTTTGAGATACAGACACATACTTCTGTCTCATTTCATCTTATTTTATTTTGCAGGGTGGGTAGCATGAATTTCAGATCTGGCTTTTAGTGGGGGTAAATGGCCATACCTAACGTCAGCTGGTGACCTGAGTTTCAGGCATATGCTCTATGTGACCTTCAGTGGATAGAAAGCTACAGATACAACTAATTAAGCCTCCATCTTTACCATTTTTAGACTGATAACCACGTAATTAGTAGGTCTGCACCTGCATTTAATTGTGGGTGAAAATCATCTGCTGTGGTTAGATAAATAACTATGTCTTCTGCTTTGCAGCGGTTTACAAAAGCTAACCTTGTGAGAAGCGGCTGTAAAAGCTCATTCAGGATTTTTAAAACTGCACCATTTCACATTTAAAGTCCATCAGAGTTGCTAGCATATTTGGGGCCTACTTGCTCACTTTATATAAAGCTTATTTCAGCTGATCTTGCTGTGGCATATTTAGAAAATGGTAGCTGCTTATTCCTTGATGTCTCCTGTCACCAGTGGGAAATAGTCATCAACGCTGACTGAAGGCTCCACCTGAGAAGTGCCGACTGTGTACTCTTCCCTTGTTCCCTTCAGCTTGGTGGCCCTCAAAGGCTTAGCTCTCCTCATTCACTCACTTCAATTTTTCATAGATCTGGATTTTAGCTCAAATGGCGAGTTCCCAACTGAAAAGCTTTGAGAAAAGCTAGTGTTGGTGATTTCTGGTCAAGCTGAAACAGGGAACTACTCGCTATCTCTAACTGAAAAAGGGAGATCTTAAAAAGTTTTTAGATGAAGATGAAAAAAAAATCTCTGAAGATGCAGTTTTGAACTAAGTCTCTTATGTCTTGCCATTAATTTTAAAGAAATAATGAAGTAAGTTTGTTCTCAGGAACACAGCACTCAAACGCAGCCCAAAGCTCGCACACAACAGTTTTGAATGGTAAATGGGAGTTTTGCCGGCAAGATTGGCCTCATCTCTGTTTTAAACAAGGAGAGGTAACAGAAGGCCTTAGGTTTTTGAGATGAGATTTTAGGTCTTGCCCCATCCCTTGTAACTGCATCATTGCAAACAGCCTGTGCTTAGATTTTTGGAAACATGATCAAAATCTATTTATTATTGGTCCCTACTGAATCCTGCAGTCTCAGGAGACCTCTCTGTGTACACACAGCATAGGCTCGGGCTCCTGGGGCTACAGTCAACACGTAACTCCAACTTTTAAGAAGAATTTAGAGGGAAGCATTTCTTCACATAAGCCAAAACCACGATGTTTCAGAATATAAACTGTACTTTTCAGTCTTTCACTATATTTCCTTTCCAGCTCTTTCAATGAAAAGTTGTTTCTTATATACATCCTCTCTTCTCTGCTGAACAATCTCAGCCAATACCAGACTGTATGTCTCTTCTTATCGCCTTCCTGTGCTTTCATCTTCGCCCTTCAGCCCCCTAGTGCCCTGGCTTCCAAACAGAATTCCCCCCGTGAGTCCTATCTCATGCAGTTTTAGTTGGTTTCTGAGCTGTGTTCACAGAGGGAGAAACTAAGACCAAAGCTAAGGCATGCCAATACAGTGGCAAAACAAAATAATCCCTCAAGCGATACTGCAGAAACAAACTAAGAATTGCCTTGAATTGAAACGTATGTTTTCTATTGGCATTATATGGTGCTGTTTCTGAGACAACTATGTTGTTTATCTGACTGAGTCTGAAGACTTTTCTGTTTGCATCCAAAGAAAATATGAGATTTTTCAGACTTTCGCTTGAATACATGTGCATTTGTACTCTCCTGTGGTCTCCTGCTGAACCTGAGCTCTTTGCAGGGAAGAAAAGCTGATTCTGCTGTTATTTTTGTTTAAATAAATACACATCATCTTCATGACGTCTGTAAAAAATGCCTCCCCCAAACCCTTTGTCTCCCAGAAGCAGTGTTTTTCTGCAGTGATTAACACAAGTGAGAATTTATCCGAGAGACTCCTTTCTCCCCGCACGTCTTCTGACTTGCCAGTAATCAGCTGCCTCTACTCCACTCACCGGCTTGCAAATGGGATTTGTCCATGCTAGAGTGGCAAACAGGCACAATATTGTGGTAAATGCACATTATTCAACTGCATTTGCTCACTTAAAGCAGCACAGAGGCCCTCTCATGAATTCCTAGCCTAGAACAAAACGCGTGGAGCATCCCTAAACGCCACGCTGCCACCCTCGGGCATGAGGTGATCTCACCACCAGCTGGGACCCCACTGCAGCTGGCAGGTAAAGGGCATCCCAAAGAGCCTGCTGGATCCTAACTGTAACAAGATGCAAGAGGACTTTGTGATACAGTTAGGCTGACGCCTGCATAGTTACAGAAATACCTCTGTGTTTTTCTAAACAGGGCTTCAGAGATTTATTCTCTTTCCTGAATTATGGTATGTCTACACTGGTTTATGCAAAGTTGTCCCGCTGGACAGACGCCAGCTCCAGACCTAAATCTGTGTGACTGTGTTGTGTGCTCGGGATGAACCCAGCTTAACAAATCAGTCTGGATTCTAAATCTTTGTTTGTTCATTTGTCTTGAGTGCCTCGAAATTTGGAAGAGAGGCTGAAGGAAAAAGAACTGATGGTCAGAATGGCATAACCCAGCACCCTCACTCTCCAAATGCCAGTGCTTCTTTTTAATTTTCATACTAGCTCGGAAAGGATGGAGGGAGATCCATCCTTGCTCTGAATTTGTGCCCTGAGTCTATTTCTTCCTTTCTTTCCTTCTCTTTTCTAGTAGATAAGATCTTCGGTGTAAGATCTACAACAATCTCATCAGCTTCACTAAAAATGTGCCCTTCATTTTTAAGGTTCTTCATGGCTAAAGGACAAGAGCTAAAGAGTGTCTATTTGTTCATGAAGAATTGCCTATGACAGGATTAGGAGGGACACTTGACATGTAACCTTTGTCCCTATGAACTGAGATGAATGACACAATACACATCAGTATTCACCTAAAAATGGGGAAGACAGCTTTTTGAATGTCTACAAAATAGCGTTCTCCTTCAGATAAATCCCATATCATCATAGCCTGAGCGCTGTCAAAAGCCATTAAGAATTTTTCCCCAAGATCCATCAAGCCATTCTTTCTCTTTTAAATAACTTCTTAACCCTTTTATGTAATGAATATGGAATATATTAAAGATATTAGACTTGAATTTATCCATCTTCTAAATCTAAATATTCTACTCCAAGCTTTCTATCCACATTTTTTATTCAACAACTAGACACGTTCTAGTATATTCCTTTGGAAAACTAGCTGCATTTGTATAGTGAGCATACTTGTTCATTAAGTAAATGTAATACTTTTGACTGGCTTTTCTGGATATTTTTTTAACAAACGTTTCTTCCCTAAGTTTTTTATTGCCTTTACTAGGATAAAACAATGATTTTGTGCTGCCAAGCTTTTGAATACATATATATTTTAATCATGTGATTTTTCCAGTTAAACTATGACTCTTTTGAAATAGAAAGGAACCGAGACTGTACAACAGCTAGATTGTGCAAACGCAAAGTTAACTGGGCACATGTCCAATTATAAATCAAAGCCAAAACAAGGGGAATTTTGAAGAGGAAAGAATGCATGGGTCAAAGTGGAAAAAAGTCTCAGCCATGAGAAAATATTTTCTAGTTAAACTAAAATAGTTTTGGTATTAAAATGATAATGAGGGCAAAACCCAGAAAGACTGAAAGCTGCTTTAATCAAGCAAGAAAACACAGAGTATTCCCCCCATTTCCTTCAGTGCTGATCAGTGAGATAAATATTGACTTTTCTGTAGACTGGGTCAAGGAGGGGGAATGAGAAAAGGGCTGCTATTATTTGCTTTGCTCAATAATATTAAATTATTGATTTGCCAACTACAGCAGAAGCACTGCAGAGGAGAGCAACGTCTGCATGGCAGAATATGTAGAAAAATAAGAAGTTCGGGTTTTTTGCTAAATGAGGAAATCAGTGAAATCATTTTTATCAGTGCTTCTGCTTTTCTGACAGGCCTGAGATGACTATCAGAAAATTTTCTTTCTGCTAATGAGTTGAACTATTCTGACAGTGACCCAGATCATCATCCTCAAGGAGCATTAAGTAAACTGAGGTTTCAAAGCTGAGATGCATTCCTTTCTTGTCTTGTTACTGCCTCTTATTCTCTCTGCATCCATCCCGATAAGCATCAAACCACAATTTGACAGCGTTAGATACGGTAACAGCACAGTCCTTTTGGCAAAACATTTTAGTACAAGCTGCCTGGAAGGTCCGTTTTCAAAGCTGAGTCACTTCCGTGACGCAGCATGCCAGACACAGCACTTGGGGCAAAAAACTCTAAGAATCTGATTTTGTATGTATAAGAGAGGAAAAAGATGATCCATTTAAACATCCCTGTGTTTGTCCAGCTATTTGGTTTAGTTTGACAAGCAAATACAAGCTTAGATCCTATAGCTCAGTGGGACTCTGAGAGCATTTCCTTAGCATATGGTGGTGGAACAAAAGCCAGGAGACAATAACCACCGCTGTGCTCTGCTTTATTGTTAGGGAGCACCCGAGCTCCCTCAACTTCTGAAAATAGAAATGATTCTAAAATGTTTGCTGGTAAAATGCGACTGGATTCTGATAATAGCTGGATTTTGAAAAGGGGCCTTTTTCTCATTTAAAAACGGATACACTTTAAGATAAAGACAATCAATATGAAGTACTTTGTTTCTGAACAAAAAAGAAAACTGAATCTAGGCAAAAAGAGCTAAAAAGCCAGTCAAGTAGTGTAGTGAGTAGCAAAACTGTTATTTGGATAAAGTGCCTATGTAAAAGCATATTAAGAATGCAGTCAAGGGAACCTAAAGTAGAAAGAAAAATGCTTTTTCCAACACTTTTCTCAGAGCTAACATAGATGGGTGAGTGAAAACCCTATCACAGCAAAAAATATAACGTGAGGCACGTAACAGAACTTTTTAGCCAAAAATAATAGGAGGTTGTGCTTACCTTAAAATTGTGTGCTTTTTCATAGTTGAAGTGGTTGTCGTTTTGAGTTAAGGCTGCTCTTCTGACCAAGGAGGTGATCTGTGAATAGGCAAAGAGTTTCAGAGGTTGCCACAGAAGTGCCCCCTTGACTCCCACCTTCACCCCCAGGGCCACAGCCAGGAGCTCTTGGCGCTTCCTTCCTCGCTTCGACTTGTGAACAACGGCACAGTTTTTCTCATTCTCCAGCCACAGATCCTCTGAGAACATAGCGCTGGGATCCCAAATCTTTTCCCTGTCTTCCTTGGCGCCCGGGAGCCTGACTGTAGTCAGTACGGTACAGTTTGTCCAACTGCTTCTGATGTTAGACAGCAGATTTGAAGCAGCTGCAGCCCATTCTGCCGAGACCTCTGGCATGTGACTCGAATGGGCCGTCTTGTGGGACGGAAGGAGCTTCTGCATCTGAATAAGTAACGGCCTGTGCCGTGCGATTTCTTAAGGCAGATGTGTGCCTCGAACAATAGCCCGAATTCATACACTGAGCAACCTTCCCCCCTGACCCTCCCCGAGCGGTGGTTTCCAGCTAGGTGCTGCTGAAATGCCGACTGGGGTGCGGGACAGCGTTACAGCTTCACACTCAAAGGCATTTCCAGGGACAGATCGTTTCAACTCCACAGCGTGTTAAAAATGAACAAACAAACAAAAAGCCCTGCTAAAGCCCACACGGATGCTGCATCTAATTACACTCAGACTTGGAGACTTATCAGCCAGCAGTCTGCATGCCAGCAGATTAAACCCTTAAACCCATGATCACTGTTTAATCTTACAGAGCTAAAAATCCCTATTGCCCCCCCCACCCCCCCGCCCCATCCTGTACAAGGGGAAAATCCAGCAGCACTGTAAGCATTAATAGCACTTTCATGCCATGTTTCAAACTAGAGCATTTTGTCAGTGTGCACTCGGTAGCACGGAGCTAGCTCCCTGGCAGGGCAGCTGAAAGCCCAGCTGGGACAATGCAGGCTAGGAAGCCCCCGAGCTCCGTGCAGCGCGTGTGAAGGCAGCAGGGGAGCTTCACAGGGATGTAGGAAGCCCGTGCACCCAGCCTCGCCTGCAGAGCAAGGTCTGCAAGGTAGTGAAAGCAGTCATCCTTGGCTCTGGTCACCTGTGCCCATAGATTTGGTGCGTGGGGGGTACTGATTCCTAGTAAAGGCCCAGGGACAGGAGGGATCTGCACCCTGACCAGTCTGCGCTACAGCTCGCAGTATTACTTCGGGCAATTAATTCACTTCTTTACGGGCAGGTAGTTCCCCATCCCAGCACACAGAAGATGCGTGACACTGAGCGTCCCCTGGGAAGCACGTTCAGTGCACCCTCCCCACTGGCTCTCCTCCCTCCAGTTCTCCTCTCCTGTGCCCTTTGTGAGTATGCCCGTTCTCTACCCGTAAGAGGAGGACAGGAGTTACCTGCTCAGCAGAGCACTGTGAGATTGAATTCTCTAAGTTGTGTCTAACACTTGAGATGCTGTGACAGAGCAAACTGGGGGTTATCAGCACTACTGGGAAAACTGCCTCTCTGAACTAGAGACACTAAAGATGGTATCAGCCTCTTACAGTCAACTTTCCCAGGAAATACGTGAAATTAAAGTATTTAATTCACTTATGTTAACTTGTGAAGTTGAACTTGCCTCTATTTTTCAGTCTGCTTTTACCTCAGAAAGCTCATCTAATTTACTTACTAAAACCTCCACCATATAGACTGCCCGCTCTTAGTAGAAGCGATGCTCTCCTGATTTGAAAGCCCAGGGGGGACAGATGGTTGGCTGTCAGCAACATCAGGCCATGCAATTTCAGACAGTGCCCTACTTAGGGTTTTCAAGAAGTTGTGCAACCTGCAAAATCAGCTTCTCAGTTATAAGCTGATGCACTTACTTCTATGTATAGCATACTTAAATCCTTTCTTTTCCAGGTAACTCACAGCACCTCTTTTTACATGCACCCATACTCCAAAGCTTCTGCTCCCCGGTGGGGAGGATTTCCACACAACCCCATCTCTCCCTGAGCAGTTGCTGCCTGCCCAGCCTTTTCCTAGGGCTCGGCACTGTTAGCTGGCCACCGGTGACAGCCGTCTGTGATGCATGCATGGACATTGCTCTGCCTGGAGGAAATCCCTGCTGCTCTTCCATATGTCCTCCCACTGGAGAGTCCTGATTTCTGCCCGCTCAGGACCTTTATCGCCTTTGCAGCAGATGAAGACACACTAGGTCCCCAGGTCCCTCTCAATGTATCTCAAGAGGTGAGGAGCACTGCTTTTAGGGACATTTCTGACTCCATCAGAGGCAGTGGCTTCAGTTTGGGCTGTCACAAAGAAAACTTTGGAACAGCTTGAAGTTCTTATCATACTCCAGTTTCTTTCCTCAGTACCATTTAAAATGTATTTACATTTATCTGGAACAAAATCCGCAAACTAGCTCTGAGTTGTTAAAACACCTCTGAAGCTACAGCATCTAAATCCCCATATAAACATAAGCTACTTTCTCTCTGACTCCCAGTATAACAGATCCGAAGTCAGAGAGAGGTTGGTTTCCTAATTTGTATTTATGTCAATAGACTGATAAAAATCCCATTATATAACTTTTTTTTTTTTTTTTTTTTTTTACATAACAAGGCAGATTTGATATTCGGGCTACAGGGTTATGATGATACACCTTGGAATTTCTATTTATTAAACTGTTTTTGGAATATCAGAGAGTCATCCTGGGGTCAGACATACAGTGCTATATTTAATGGAAACTCTTGAGTGTTTGCACAGAAGCGTTAAACTTAATAGACTTGAAGGAGGACAACTCAGCCAAACCAGTTCATATGACTAAGGCAGATCAGTATTTACTGTTTATCGTACACGAAATTTTATTTATCCCCTAGGTTGCTTTTTCTGCCTTGCTTGGGCCCTGTTTAGACGGCTGTTTAATGGGAACCCTTGCAAACACAGGATGTGTACAAAAGGCCAACCGTGAGAGCATCCTATCCAGAAGCTTAATCATTAAGAAGCCCTACCACATCTGGTGTCTAAAATGGCGCTGTAAAACTGACATGAGCTGGACCACATAAATAGCCCCTTCCCTCTCTAAATATAATGCAAACAGCAGCAACAACAAATTCCCAGCAGCAACCAGTTCCAGTGTACTGATACCATAGGCCAAACCCAGCGCTCTCTTTTATCCGTTGTTTTAATACAAAATTTACTGCACGTGGTGTCAACTCATTCAAAGAGCATCTCTTGATCAAGTTAGCAAGATAACCTGTAGCAGGAGAATGCCAGCGGCTAAAAATATTACTGCTGGTTGTCACCAAACATCTAAGCTAGTGAAAATTAAAAGGCAAATATGGCTTGTCTGCATTTTCAGACCGAAGGATCTCTGTGTAACATACGATTTTAGTTTACTAGTCTCTCTGTAAAACACGTGTACTGTATAGCAAATCGGGCATTTACGGCAAAATAAACGTCACCGAGCCAGAATAATAAAACTGAAAAAGGGAGGGGAAGAGGGTGGGCTCAGCTGTCGCGCCATTTCCAGCATGCCTTCGCAGCGCGAGCTGAACCACACCATTGTCTCTCCCCTCAAACACTGGCGCCTTGTTTGCTAACAAAGGCCTCCGGGGCAGGAAAGAACAAATTGCAGTACGAAAAGCTTTCGGTTTCGCGCGCGTGGCATGATTCCTGCTGCAGTCGCGTGGGCAGCGCGGAGGCCTCGCTGGAAGCCAGCGGCGGGGGAGCTCTGCACGCTGCCCGGCTCCGCCGTGCCAGCTCCAGCGCGGCGGGAAGGGACGCTGAGGGGAGGCCATGGCTCCTCGCCACCAGCCGCCGCCGCGCCCGCCCGCGGCTGGCGGGGAAGGGGGTAGCGAACGGCCGGTCCCTGGCTCGCCGCTCTGCCTGCGGAAGGGCACCACTGCGGCGGGCAGAGGAGCGGCCTGGGCACCTCTCCTTGGACGATACCGCAAGCAAAAGGGAGACTGCTCCGTGAGGAGGAACCTGTGGCGAATCCATGACTGACCTCTAAGTAAATACACTGAACACCGCACGCAGACACGGTCTTGGGTCAAAGCGAGGCCCGTTTCCTCGCAGGCACGGCACACGCGGTAATCTGCCAGGCAGATGATGTTTGCTCAACTGCAAGCACACTGTGGAGATGACACACGGTGCAGGAATCTTGCAGCTATTGGGTTTTTCCTGGTTTTGTCCCTCGGAGCCCTTCCCACGATGTGCTCAGGAGACGATGCCGGAGAAGCTGGCGAGGGACGCAGTGGTCTGAGTGCGCTCTTGGCAAAACACAGGGCACAGAGGGGAAACAATGGCAAAGTGAATCGAAGGGCTTCGCCACCGGCCCATGCCTCCCACTGCCACGGCACTGAGAGCTGCCATGAAAAGGCCTCTGTGCTGCCGAAACAGTGGGATGGAACAAGCTCCGAGCAGAAAATGTACTGAACGTGAAGCGGAGCATGATGCCTGCCAACCTGATCTTGCAAAACTGTCTTTCCTAAGAAAACACCCCTCTGGCGGGAAGGCTCCTGACGTCTGTTTGGTAAACAGAGATTGCAGAGGTGAGCAGGGCCGGGAAGCTCCACAACACAGAACTGGGGGTTAGGAAAGGAGTCAGACCGCACAGAAACTGGGCTGCCGCTGCTCTCTGCTTTGCTTTTGAGGGGGGGAACACAATCTACTTGCTCCCAAGGAATCAAAAATACACAAAAAATAATTAGCATTAACTGCCTGCCACCCTCCTTTGTTCAACAGAGCTCCAACTGCAATCACTGAGAGTTTCCCCCAAAGGCAGGTCCACCTGTATTCCTCAGGAGTGCCATCTTGCCCACTGAAAACCCAACAGTCTCTTCTTTCCAGTAGAAAATTTCCTTTCAGGTGAGCTGGAGGTCAGTAAACTGGACATTGTCATTAAAAAAAAAAAAAAACAAAACCCACCACTGTTTTTTTAAAGGACTAAGATATATCTACAGGTTTGTTTTTTACTTCTTGGAGTTTCAACTTCCTTTTTTAAATAACCACCAGTCCCTCTGCAAAGCCTAAGTCTGAGGAGCTGTCAACAATATGCATAAGTGTTTATGGAAGCAGAACATCTATTCTGGAGAGCCTGGGTGCACTTCCATCACCAGCAATCACACCCGGCTTTGGAGGACAACCCACTTGAGAGCAAAAGGAACTGATCATTTAGGAAGGCTCCTGCAGGACATGCTCTGAAGTTAAAGTTATTAAAACTTTAATCTTTTACACCTCCCCTAAATTAATGTGACTGACTATTTGGTCCCCTCCCCTACAGACAAAAGACATAATTTACCTACAGCAAATGGAAATATAATCTCCCTTAGACTTCAGATCCCCTTTCTAGATCCTCCTCAAACAAATTTTTCTGTATGCATCATGATTATTTTTCTCAAAACAATGTAGTGAACCAAACAATTCAACAGCCAAAGGTGAAATACTGTAGAATCAGGAAGGCACTTGCGAGACTATTATTAAAAATAATAGTTGCTGTAAGCCTCTTATAGAGTATTAATATAATAAACTATTGTCTATTTTGGAACAACAACTGGATCTTACATTAAGGGGTATGCAATTACATAGTCATCTCCAATTAAAAAATAAGGGGTTGACTAAAACCTTTTATGTTGTCAGGCAATTGTATCACTTAATATGTTGTGTATTTCACATTTGCTGCTGTATTTAAT